AGTTGGTGTTTCTAATCTATATGGAATGTATTTGTAGGTCAATAAATTAAGATTATCAAAAAGCATTCAAATTCGCCCTTTGTTTAGTATGTATTACTGCGTAAGTTTTATGTACTCCTTTAATTACCTAATTTTTGCGTTATATTCTTTAAATTATTACGTTGTCGCGTTTTCAGGTTCGTAGTTTTTTTTATTTTTGGCGGAATGTCCAAATTTATCTTCGTACTTCTCTGTGTACGCCTCCTCCCGCATTCGCGGGTCAAATCTGAACACGACTACGAACTAAGATCCGGAAAGGGAGCAGGACGGTACCGAGCAAGTGACAACTATAATTTAAAAATCTGAAATTAATTTAATCTGTTATATATTTATATTAATAATTGTACATTTTAGTATGGAACAGCAAATATAAAACACCACTCTTTTGTATTTTTATTAGCACATTCGACATGGATTCACGCGGGGAATAGAAAAAAGCGAAGCGAAATGCCGTGCATCAATTCTTCTGATTTATTAAATAAATTCCATATAATTTACGCTGTTATTAGCTAGTCTCTGTGTGTTTAGGTAAATCTATTTTCTCGTTTTTGATCTAAATTTCGTTTCCAAAAAATGTCTCTCTGTCGTCTAATAAATAGCGTGTTATCTTTTGCCATCCTCCTAATTTTGTAATACGGCTGAATCCAGTTATTGAATCATCCATTTTTATAAACTACTGTGTCTTAGCAGGAGGTATGGATTGCTTCAATAAATGCATTGCATTATGGAAGAACAGGAACTTTATTTTCTTGCCACCTGAGTTATTAATAAATGATAAGTTTGTCGTCATAAGTCACTGTAGAAGCATTTGGACACAAGTAAGTAAGAACAATATTAGAAAGCGACAGAAATAAACATGGATGTATTGAAAATACGAAGTTCATTTTGTTTTCTATGCAGAAATAGAACCTGCCGCTTTTGGCGTGATCTGTAGACAAAAACTGCGTATCCTAAAGTAGCTTCAAATCAATTGACTAATTTTTATAAATTAAAGTAATAAATTAAAATGCCTCCATTAAAAGTTAAACATTTCATTTAAATTCGATCGCTGATACATTTCTTGCGTTTATTTGCGCTGTATTAATATAAACATTTTCTGCTTAACCTACTTCAGGCGTGAACTTGAGGGAGCATTATTCGCTTCAGACCACTACGCAATATTTCTGAAGAGAGCGGAGCGATATGAATCCAGCGATCCTTGCCGGAAAACCGTTGTGGAAATGCGAGAAAAATGTGGTTTTCGGCGAAATATACACCACGTTTTCCTTAGTTTCTTTCCGAATATTTATAATTAGTAATCTTACTGTGTATGTGGTAATCGAGGAAGTTGAATCCGTTCGTGCCTCATAGTTAGATCCCTTCCTTTCCTCGAATCGAGATAAATAAGGCAACTTTCGAGGCTTAGTGGTCGCTTTGCGTATTCAGCAAGAAGATTCTAAGAGAAATTTCTAAAAATATGTTTTTTGTTTTTTAAGGAATTGAAACGCGTTTTGGGTGACGTAAAGCACCTACAGGGGTGACCTAGGCCATTTGAGCTCTCCTGACCAAACAAATAGATTGACACGATTGCTAGCTTACTTCTAGGATATTCGGGAATAATTACAAAAAACACGTGTATTTGATAGTTTTAATGCATCCAGGAGTAAATCTGTGACACGCTGTGAATTACTAAACTCTTTCGGTCAATTATATGAATCTTTACGACTAGATTCATCAGATTTACGATAGTGAAATTTAAATAATGAAACAAAACTGAGTTAGCTCAGATGCAACATTGCCTTTATTTGTGCAGTGGTTCTTAGGGGAGATCCTAGGGTTAGAGTTCAGATGGTGGTGGAGTTTCGACGCTAGCTTCATAGCTAGGCGGAATTCAACTGCTGTTGGAAGAGAATTCTAGAGTCCTGCTGCTCTATTCGGAAGTTTTCCGTGATTTCTCCGATCAATACCAGGTGAATGACTAACAGCAGTCCCCTCACAAAGGGGCGAAGGACTGTGTGCGATCTATTCTTCATTTTCCATACCCTATCCTGTCTCCTAACTTACACAGAGCAGTTCGGAGCTTCTAGCTCGCCCCGGCTGGGGTGATGCCCCGCTAGGAGAAAGATACATGTGGAAGAAACCCCTGCAATCCGATGTGTGGGTCGGCACCGGATCACCACCTTGTGGGGAAGAAATATCGCCACCTATCGAGATCAAATATTCACTACACTAACTGAACTAATAACCACACCAGTTGATCCGCCTGGAAACATTATTCAATCAATCATAAAGAAACAATGAAACAAGTATTTTAATCGATATTTTTTCATGTTACTTTTTCTGCCCTAAAACGGATGAGGCGAGGAACTGTAATAAGTTTAAATTTAATTTTTATTACGAACTTGCAAAGTGATGAACTGAAAAGAACATGAAAACACTCATATACAATACAAACAACTGAACCGCCATGGTCGCATACAACACCACACATTCTGGCTTCATGTTTATCTTGTGAGGGTACGTGCCCTTTGTACCATGAAGTGGTTCAGTTGTTTATAATGTTCGTAAACATTCAGTGAAAGTAAGTTCTGAGGAAGGAACTGGTAAACTAGGATTTTAATTAAGTGACCAACACCCATGAACTATTCCGTTACAAGTAATAGTGGTCGCTAATGACCTAGAAGTTGATGCGGCCTTACAAATAACAGAAAAAAGTCAACATTTCATTCGTTTGCCAAAGAATAGATCTAATAACTAATAATAATAATAATAATAATAATAATAATAATAATAATAAAAAAGTTGAGTTTTGAGACTATTTAAAATTAAAATATTGGAGAATAGAAAAGGAAATAAATAAACAATATTAGTGTAGCTGCTTAAGCTGTTATATTTCTTTTCCATTCGACAGAGTTCGTTATTTCCTGGAACCGTCCGTCAGACGACAACTTTGTTCTTACTTTTCCTCCTTTCACCTATGCGCAGCCTTTCTGGAATTCTTGACATCTCCGAATTTTTTACTTCCACTGGCGCCAAGGGCAGGTCGAGAGTTTTCCCTTTGTGAGTGTCCTCGGCTCGAAAGGCCCCCTAAGCCCCCGCCACTACCGCCGCTCCAAAACGAGCCCCATCACGGAAGCGCTGTCGATAAGGGAAGGGTGGGTACGCGGAAGAATTATTGTGGCACTGAAGGTCTGTATCGCGAGGGAAATCCAGCGTGTTGGCTTTCCGATAAATCTTCCATGAAGCGACGTTTGCTTGCTTGTTTGCTGCAGTTTGTTGAACGTGCCTTGTGTAAGAGCATTCTCGTGCGCGATCGTGTTTTGGAGATAAAAAGAAAATGTACTTCAGAGTTCCTTAAGAGGTTTTGTGAAAATAGCGCGGAATATTTCCTACCTGTTTTTACGAACTCCAGACATACAGTTAGGGCAAAAAGTGATCGTAAACTTTGAGCGTTTGAAACTAACTGTTCGTTAGTAGGAATCTCAGGATGTAATAAATATTAAGCGTAAAATATAAATGAATATTAAATTTCATGTATATGAGAGAAAAAGACAAACGAAACGTAATGTCTAAAAATGAAACAAAATTTAACATAATGCATGCAGACTAATCGTAGAAAGAAATCGTACGGTCGAAGTAATGAAGCGAAATGGAATAGCTAATAGTGTTTTGGGTATGTAGTTTAGCAACCTTCTATGATCTATGAAACTCGGAGAAGCATAAATACTATAAATCATGTGTGGTCCCTTCTTGCAATAAAAAAAATAGAAAATACAATGTGTTTAATAAATAACATCTTACTCGTGCTCTCCTAAGAGGATGAGGCTTGATTCACCCCTCGGCAAAGGCAGAGGTGGTGGAATCCATGTCTCAAAGACTGGCGACAATAATCAAAGCGAATGGACACACTATAGTGTATTAAATGACAAAATATTTTTGTTAAACATAATTGTACGATATCTTTTTGTGCGTTCAAAATTTGGGCATTTTCCTTTGTTTACCAATATCATGGGGTTTTTGATATTTTGAGCTTATTTTACTATGAGGGAATAAATAGTAGGATTTCTGGACTCAGAATTGTTATCTAACACCCTATTCATATTCTGCATGTTTTTGTAAATTTTTCTTGGATGGACGATCACTTTCTGCACTAACTGTAGATATTTTTCAGTATCTTTCGTTCGCCTGTTTTTCAAAGCGCAGTATTTGATGGTGCTTCACAAACCCCTTGAAGAGTAAATTATTACTTACGGGATTTGAAAAATCATATTGTAATAATGTGTAATTAATATGCAATACAAAATTGTTGTACACTTTGCATTGGGTTGAAGAAGTTGAACTTCTGAAGAATATAGTCTTCACGAAATTTCCTTCAGTGCGTATGGAGTTAATTTAATACATTATAGGATGATCGACACAGTATCTATTTATTCCTTTCAATCTAATTTATTTTGTTATTATTATTATTATTATTATTATTATTATTATTATTATTATTATTATTATTATTTTATTTTATTTTTTGGACGGGAATTACTCTAGAACTACGCGGACATACACCTGCACAAATGGAGGCTCAGTAACATGTATCCCGTGTCAACTCCTTTTTGGGGTGTTCAGCATTATGATAAATCCGATTTTTATCCCGTAGGGTTGCTAGTCCTGGAGAGATAGAAGATGGAATGACGGTGATAATGAAGGGTGAATGGACGACACACACATACAGACATACACAAACACACCCATGCCCGAGGCGGGACTCGAACCCTTGTTTCTGTTATTAAAGTTTTATGCTTTTGCTGCAAAGCTGTGTTCCATAAATGTTATTTCCATCATGCTGGCATTTCCAGGGACTCAATAAAACATTTTAAAAAACGCTAAAATCGGACTGCCAGTCACTGGATGACGTAATTCAGTTGGGCACAAACATTAATGCGAGCAACGCGAGGAGGCGTGCTGTGACGTGCTTGTGGTTTGCGCAGGGTGATCGTGTCGGCGCCGTGGGCCAACTCCAGCTTCGAGGCCCCGAGGTTCTCGCGCAGCGGCGCCTTGTTTCGCTGCGAGCCGACGGGCGGCGGCTGCAAGGAGATGTACTTCGTCCAGGGTAAGGAGAACACGCACCTGTATGGCAACATGGAGAATGCCCTCGTGGCAGGAACATACGGATTGTACGATTTGTCAATGGACAATAGTGTAGTAAGTACAAGTCAATCCGAATTGCCCGCTCGGAGACAGCATTGCCGCTGTGTCGGCAGCGACACTGACTGGATGATCCTAGGGTTCTGGGTTGGCGGATTTGGTAGCTGAACGGCTTGATTGAATTCAGGCGCGCTGTGTAGCGCGGCTGCTCTGATCGGTAGTTTTCCGCAGTTTCTCCTATAAAAACACCAGACGAATGCTGGGCCAGTACACTAACGACACATTGCAAACGCGCGCGATATTTTCTTCATTGCATGTTAGCCGACAAACCGATATGAAATCTGCCCCACCTGTAAAGCGTAAATTATTGTTAAATTTTCCATTACCAGAAATTAAAATGATCCAGGAAATTCATGGAGATTTATGCCATAGTAATGTTCAAAAGTAATTTTCATGGAAAAACCATCAGCAAGAGTTGTGAACGTAATATGAGGTAACAGGAAAATTGGCGAAGGCGGAAGAAAATTGGAAACGGGAACGACGGCAGCCATTCCTGTTTCCTTCCTTGAGTAGCAATAACCGGCCGGAAGGAGCAGTGGATTTTACCAAAGGAAAACATTATAGGCATATTGCGTTTCATAATCCTTCCGTAGGACTTTTGTGGGATGCAAAATTTGTGTTTGTGATCAGAAATAATCATTATTGCCGGAACCACAGAGATAAGTGGGTGAATGGCGATGCACTAATTGTTATTATTGTTCATGATGTAGCCAAATGTTGAAGAAGGCGCTGGTATTTATTATATTTGCGTTTTGACAGTAATATTGCAGTTGTACGTAACAGAGAAAGAACGGCACAGACACTTCTACTTCAGAATGACACGGACTTCGTCGAATGAGTTAGTTTCCTATTCTTCTGAGACTGAGGTAGCGTTTAGGTTTTGCCCCCATCCTTTTCCCAGCTTCTATTCTTCGGCGTCTAAAAGACCTACCTCGGCCTCTCGCTGTATCTACTGGACCTGGACAGTTTTACATACGCACGTCTTCGTGCCTTCCTACCGCCCCACCTACCGCGCTTGTATACCTACCGGCCTATCACGCCTACATACCGGCACTTTGGACAGTAGCACATACGCGCTTCCCGAAAAAAAGCTATCTTGGTGTCGGCGTTTTATACACATTATTCCATTTGTGAGTAGATGTGTTTCAATGGATTTGTGATGAAGTCTCACGAAAACTCGACTGTTTTCTGTGACGATGATCGCAAAATTACGCAAATGAATGAAAAATATATTGAAAAAAATGTCATTCAAACTGGGTACCCTGCCCCCTCTTTTCAGCAAAATCGTGGTTGGGTCATTGGCTAAACGTGTTGCTACTCTTAAGCACCCAGCGCTTATAACCGGCATACCGCGAGTAAAAGGGAAATGGGATTCACACTCTTGAAAAAATATACTCTCGACAATGGTTCAAAATTGTAAATGTTGATCATCCTCCTCTAGATAGTTAATGAGAATGTTCCTCGCTGTACTCGCTTGCCAACTACAATTATCTTAAACGGCTGAAGAATGAAAAAGCATATATGTGTAATTTATTATGGATTTTCTTTTTCTAGGTGAGACTGATGCTGGCTTTGAACATCCTTTAAACATTAACAATGGAACTCTTGGAGGATCAATGGACGCGTTACTAGGGAATGATGGGATGGTGGTAGGTACCTTATTTTTCATGCGATATTTATATGCCGAGTGATTCGTACCGTGACATATTGGGTGTTCCGATACATGCATTTCGCCCAGATCTCGGACCCGCAAATTTCTTTGTGCTATTTTTTTCACACATTTTATTCATTTATGCTCTCAAGATTCACATTTTGGTAGGAACTTTAATATTCTCTTGCACTTAATGTCTTTAGGACTGTTTACAATACCTGTAATTTTATAAGACCTTGAAACCTGCCAACACTTGTTATGGCACGTCGTATCATGGTTGTGATGTTTTATCATTCGGTAAATCTGGTTGAAATCCTTTTGAAACCAATTATTTAGAAACCATTCCTCCTGCTTAAGCAGGCAATAGTTTTAGATTGTCTAATGCTTAAACGATATAATTTCAACTGAACAAATCATTTTGTGACTATTTTATTCTTATTTGATGTAATTGAAGTAATTATCAAAATCTATTCTCTGTATTGGATTATCTGTTTTTTATATTCTATCATTTACCTTTTACTTTCATTTACTTCACATTTCCCCTGAACCAGTACTGATACTTAATTTTTAGTAAATGCTGTAGTATTTGTTTTATCTTGAAACTGCCACTTAAAGATCCAAATTAAAATATTATACCATAATTTTAAAATGTAAATATGTCTTATTATTTTTAGGTATGCAATCCAGCATATAAAGAAATGCAAGATAGTTATTTGCTTATGCCTGGAATGTGCTACTGGCTTTTTGACTTGATGGCTAACGACGATTATGTTGAGAGACGCAGGCTCGTTGGCAACGTAGGTAAGAAACTTGTGTGCACTAGTGTATCAAGATTGCTGCCACCAGTGAGATTCGGATGCAGGGTGCCACAATGAGATTTCCGTTCCACGTTCGACCACATTTTCATAACAGAGCAATAGTGCATCTGGTTCAGGAACTTAAACGCAGCACACTTATAGGTGGAGATTAGAAAAATCCATTAAAGCAAGTTTGTTCTCGTTTTTATCAACATTTTTGCACATATTTTTTAACATATTCTTGTTTGGGTTTAAAATAATTTCTTTCCTTCGGCAAACAAGCTTCAGCTGCAATGGCCATAAAAATACAGCGTTCTGATCGTTTCCTTTCACGTCACCTATTGCGCTCGTAAGCTCGTGGCGCGAGACGTGCTATTGCCATCAGTTGGCAACAGTGACGTCAGTGGATTAAATGAATCGAGAAATTACGAAACAAAATGAGACCCCTAGAATGTGTCTGCAATTAGGTGCAGACTTTCTGATACTTTCCTCTAAAATATTTCACCGAGATTTAATCTACAAGTAACCCCTAAAAATCTCTAGTATTCCTGAAAGTCTATGAATAATTTCGTCCCGATTATCTACTCTCCCTCGAACATAGTCACGTGGTACAATGGCGGGTAGCTCAGATATTATGGAAATATTGATGTAATGCCGTCACAATTGACGGATGAAATAAAGACAGACGTTAACTCTATCCCATCGCTAATAAATTGTTGGCAAAGATGAGACTTTTGTTTTATCTGGTAGTTCCCTTTCATTAAGACTTTTGATATGTATTACAATCAGCAGAAGTAGCAGTCGGTGGGGCTTAGCTATCCTATGCGCTCCAATTGATAAATTTTTTGAATATGATATAAAAATGATTTTTAACATATTGGGAAAATCGCGTATTAATTTCTAAGCCAAACCTGATTCAATAATGTTCATCACCTAAACTGCAGCTTTGTTCACTTCATCTTAGTTACTTTTACACATGATGGTGAGAACTTTCACAAGTTCTAAAAAACGTATTGATGTGAAATGTATTGGTTTAATAAATAATGATAAATCAGAATATGTACCCACCTCCTGAATAACACTTTATTTTATTTCAGGTAACCAAGCGTTTACAATAGATGGCATTTCAGTGGATGATCATGGGTCGCCTCAAATAGGATTTTCTGTTCATCAGCTACAGGTATTCATATTGGAGTTCTTATTTTAAAATTTTAATAAGTCATTTGAACAATTCCAAATTACGAGAATTCAATATGCGATTGGATGATTTTGGACGCGTATGTGATGTACGCAATTTCACAATCATTAAAACGAAGAGGATAGTGGGTGTGTTCCTGTTGATGTAAATCTTGTCGAAGTTTAATCATCAGAGTGGAAATAGAAAAATCTTCCGATGACAAACGTTTGCTTTTTCTGTATTTTCGTATATTCGCTTTTTTAAAACGACTCACTTGAAAATTCGTAAAAATTGGGCTGATTTCAAATGATCCGGACATAAATGAATGATTTTTCCCGCATGGAAAATAGAAATGTCCTCTTAAAACTGCTTAGGTGAAAACTGAATTTCTCCCTCCGTACCGGACACCCCTTGTCACAAGTTTCAATTGAAAAGTCGTGAATATTAAAGCTCGCTGAGGACTTTTAAAGCTCTAGATTGATCAAAATTGAGTATACTAAACACGGAAGTTCAAAACGGAAAAATGTATACCAACCACAGAAATAATCTGTTATTAAAGACATTATTACGCGTCTGTATAAGGGGCTGGATCTGCACGTAACATGAGAAGCAGGTGTCATCGTTAGAATAGGGGCTGAGAAGCCATCGGAAGGAACAGTAAAGGTGTGTTAATTATAACGTTTGAGGTGGTCCCTGGAGGTTAGTCAACTCAACAAACGTGCCAAAGAGGTTCCCGCTATGTTTTATTTATTTTATATTCTCTGTAAGTAATACGCCAAGGATAAATGATAGTCTTTATATAACGTGTAAGTCACCGTCGCAAAACTGTGTAAATGTGCCACTGCGGGATATTAAATTTCTCCCCAGTGCTGCATCAACGAGATTTAACACGAAACGTATAGAATTTTGCAGATTATGACGAGAACAGCAAACTTATTACAGTCGCTCATAAATCGGAAAATAGGTCCTTAAAACCAGGTTTTTATTTTCCTGAAGCGACGAAAGTTTTGGGAGGCAGGTGGGGCTCGTGTTATGTATCTTTGTGATAATGTGAGCGAGTCTGTAATGATTACATGAAAAAAATTATATCTAAATATGTAATACATTGGGCTAAATATTAATTCCGAAATGTGGCTTAAAATATGCCATAACTGAATAAATATTTTATTTATATTTATGTATTTTTGTATAAAAATCGTGTAACTAAATGTGTAATACATCTGGAATAAAAATTCATTCCAAAATATGGAGTAAAATATGCGGGGACAATGGAATAAATTGATTAAAAATAATATAGGTTAAAAGGTTTAAGTTTCGTTAACAGAAGGGGAGGATAACTTAATTTTAATATTAGTTGTAGAACAAGATTCAGTGGTATTCAAACAGATTTAACATTATTGTAAAGGTAAGTTCCGTCAATTGGCTATTTACAAAGCAATGTTCAAATCGAAAACCGTATTTGTTATCTGTTAATTTTGCTTTGTACTGGCTAAAATGTCACTCAACATCAGAAGTAGCAGTGAACTCCAATTGATCAGCTAGGACCGTTATCTAACAGGGAGCTTTGTTGCTACTTAATATTTCAAATTGTAGCTCCCAGGATGAGGTTTGGATAACCGCAACGCAGTTAATAAAACGTCAATTCCATTTATAATTATAAGATAAGATAATATCTCAATTTTCATTGAAGTATAGTTGTGACTATCTCTGAAGCAAGGTCTCAATTCGTTTAATTTCAACATTCTTTGGAGATATTTTTTATTGTTTTTTGTTTATTGATACAGATGTTATAGATAATAGTATTTACAGGATAATTGTAACACGGGTGGTATAAGTTTATCTACTGTTCTGTTTGTATGTCGACGCGCTCAATTCGAATGTGAAGCCAGAATTGCACCACCACCTCAGAGTTCTTTTTTAAATTGCCAAAAAAAAACAGTGAAATTGTATATTGTAGTTTTCACGGTGGCTATTCGCAATTTAAAAAATCAATATGCGCAATTCTGGCTTTGGATTCAGCGCGGCGACATGCACAGAGAAACATGTATCAAGTCTTTGGGACTGACAACGTATTTTTTATGTGTGCCTGTGTAATTAAACAAAATTAATGTTCATCCATGATAGCAGCATTTGATTTTTGATTGTATTATATGATTGCAGGAAGAAGGTCAAACCATGTTGATTGGAGGTCCCGGCTTATTTGCCGGTCGAGGTATGTGCTAAGACAGATATCTTCACCTAATGTACACGAATTTTACATATTCATCTAGTAAAATATAAGATTTGATGTGCGTAATAAGCAACGGTAATGTTTTCAGGAACTGTTTCGCTCTTTCGCCATGATTTTCGAGAAAGTCGAGCAATGGAAAATTATGGAGTGGCGGTTTCTGCATTGAGCAACGATTCTTATTTTGGTGAGCAAATAAGCATAGTTTCAAATGACATCGGTTAGAAATAACAAAATGAAATTAAATAAGTTGGACTGAATCACCATACACACACACACACACACACACACACACACACACACACACACACACACACACACATACACACACCATAAACTAAAGAGCTAAAAAAGTCGAAATTTTCTCAAAAACGGCTCCAATGTTTGTCTTTATATTTCTTGCACGAATAGCGTAAAACAAACTTATATAGATGGCTTTGGCATACGTCCGATTTTCACTGTGAACTCCGAATTTTCGAAAATTTGGAGCCACTCTCTAGCAATTCTGGACGTGTGAGCTGTCGCATTGTTGTGCTGGAATTGTCGTCGGGATGCACTATGGACATGTATGGGTGCAGGTGATGAGACGTGTACGTGCCACCTGTCAGAGTCGTATGTAGACGTATCAGGGATCCCATGTCACTCCAACTGAACACGCCCCACATACCATAACAGACCCTCCACCAGATTGAACAGTCCCTGGTTGACATGCAGGGTCCATGAAAAAATGAGGTTGTCGCCATACTATTACATGACCATCCGCTCGAAATAATGCGAAACGAGATTCGTCAGACCAGACAATGTGTTTCCAGTCATCAACAGTCCAATGCCTGTATTGAAGAGCCCAGGCGATGCGTAAAGCAATGTGTCGTTAAGTCATGAACGATTCGCGAGTGGGTCTTCGGCCCCAAAATCCCGTATCGATAATGTTTCGTTGAATGGTTCGCATGCTGACACTTGTTGATGGCCCAGTATTAAAATCTGCAGCAATTTAGGAAGGGCTGCACTTTCTGTAACGTGTAATGATTCTCCTCGGTCGTCGTCGGTCCCATTCTTGCACGATCTTTTTGCGATCGCAGCGATGCCGCAGGTTTGATGTTTTAACAGATTCCCTTTATTTACAGTATACTCGTGAAATGGTCATCCGGGAAAATCCAAATTCCATCGCGACCTTTGAGATGATACGCCCCAACTCTCTTGCACCGACTATAAAACTACGTTCAAACTCACTTAAATCCTGATAACATATCATTGTAGAAGCAGTAACCGATCTAACAACTGTGTCAGATTCTGGTTGTCTTACATAGTCGTTGCTGACCGGAGCGCTCATTTTCATCATTCACTTACGTATAGTAAAGTTCTTTGACAAAAATAAATTAAATCAAACTCGAAACAACACTAGATTTCTGTGGGCTGTGTACCGCGACTTTCGATTGAATTCTGTTATCCCGTTTCTCGTTATAACCTATTGTACCTTTATTTATACCATCATATCCATCGGTTGCCGTGACCAACTTTCCCTCCGCACCGTCGTCGAACGTCATGACACCACTCGTTCGGTTTTGGTAACAGTTGACACTCTTCGAGCAGTATATTGTGACACGCGTAAGGAGCCAATCGCTTGGCATCAGTTGACTGTTGCGTAGATCCTCCTTTGCAAGAAGCCACGTTTAGAGAACTTTCCACAATCAGAGAGCGCTGAGAGTTGGAAGCCCTGCGTCTTGAAGCTAGCCTCCAACGGTACACAAGGTCGTTTTCTATGCGATGCACCTACAGAAATATAAAACTTCTATGTTCTGATTTAAACGTAGTTTCACTTCAAAGTCACAAGCAGTAAGGAAAGGAAAACACTGTCATCTAATCGGGAGCTCCTATACCAAAAATGTAAGTTGTACCGAAGCTAGTGATTGGATGCCAGTGATCCTCGCTCCGTTCAGCTGTAACCTTCAAGTGGCACGGTATTTAAATCAGAGTATAAAGACTTGGAGTAAGGCTGGGGAAATTAAGATAATTCGAAGAATTTGACTGACGAAGAAACTGCTGTGGTTTGCGTTTTCGAATCTCTATTCTTCTTAGAGCGAAGTGGCTCATAGCGTAGGACTCTGACTTCGCACTTGGGAGGTTCGGGTTCGATCCCTGGGTCGGCCATCCTGACAGGGGTTTTCATGGTTTCCTTTGGTCAATGCTGGGTCAATTTGGCGAATGCTGGGATGGTTCAAATACGCCATGATCACCTCTCACCATCCCATCTGCTATCTCCCACCACCACTACCACCACCACCACCCTAGTCCTTTCACCCCTCATCATCACCCTATCACTTCATTCAGCATCCCTGGTTGATATCTTAGTTGTCATAATAATAATAATAATAATAATAGTAATAATAGTAATAATAGTAATAATAGTAATAATAGTAATAATAGTAATAATAATAATAATAATAATAATAATAATAATAATAATAATAATAATAATAATAATAATAATAATAATAGGATTGGAGGATTCCATTCCAAATGTTATATTGGTAACTCATTTCATGACACACTCTTTCCAATTTTTAGGTTATGCGGTGACAGCCGGAAAATTCCAGTCTTCGGATGTTTCGTCAGTTCTGTTTGTGGGCAGCGCCCCTCGGGCTGATGATTTACGAGGAAAGGTAAGAAGTCGCCTGGCACTGCCCCACAGATTCCATCAAATTCTTAGTTCGTAGTTCAAAAGTTTGGAGGCTTTTTTTCGAGAGTTTTAAATTCCCTGCCCTAAGCATGCTCCTCGTTAGGAATTAATGTTTTAAGCTGTGTGCGTAGCGAGCATTCAGAGTCCCTCCTATATTACATCTATCGCTAATCCTCCCATAATATTTTGGTCTGACACGCCAAAAGAGTCGAGCAAAAAACTGGAAGTGGAATCTATGTATAATTGAGGACTGAATCTCTGGACTCAGAATAATGATACATGCACCTAGATGAGGCTAGTATTATAAGTTACAGAACCCAGATAATAGATCTATGTAATGTGAGCGTGCTCTTTCACTGGGGATGTCTCCAAAAGGTTGTTGGTACCGCGTGTGGCCTTACTATGTCTTTTAAGTACCGATAGCTGGTGGCTGTGAAAAGGTTGCTCAAAACCGAAAAGCTAGTGCAGACTCGAGAGAATAAGAAACTGATACGAGAAAATGTGTGCCATTTTGTAGCACTAGTTTTATTACAAAATACCTGTATAAACCTTACGGCTGCGAATAACAAGAGTGCAATGGCTTCTCTGGCGGTTGAAACGGGAAGTTCTGAATAGCTAGAATGCCCAGAAGAGGAGACACCCCTAAAAATGTAATAAAAGGGCCCAAAGATTTTTTTCCAAGAAAACCCCACAACTTTTTAAATCATCGTTTCAAAAGTGAAAATTACTAGCACCCACTTTCATCGCGTCTGGTAACACGTGTTAATGGCCTAGGGAAACTTCTAAAAACGTAATAATGTTTAAAATGACACATCTTGGATATTACGGCATAAAAATTTGACTCGTGTTCAGAAACGAAAACAGTGTTTTTAAGACCTTTGGTTGCATCAGTTACAAATTAGTACTCGCATTGTAAAGATGTTGCAGCGTAGTAAGAATCGCGAATTGCCTGAGCGCCCAAATACTCTACGATTTCCAGAATTATATTTTCTTCTGTAACTATTTGATGCAAGACCTTCCCCATCTACCCTATCCATCAGTATGGTATGGTGGTATCTACCCTATCATGGTATGCGGTTTTCTCTGTGATCTCTCATATAAAATGTAAAATGCCACTTCCCCACTATTCTATACATTATCCGTTCACCCTAAGAAAAACCTGATGTAAAGAAACTGAAGAAATCTTTACGCCGCATTACGCTTCTGATTGGATACCTCCTAGCGCACCACTTTTGATGACGCGAGCAGCGTACCCCGCCAATTCAAATGGAATAAGAGCTGTCGCAAAAGTCAGCAACTACTTTACCAATCTGCTTCAGGGCGTGGTTGTCAATAACCGAATAACAATTATTTGTATAAATTGGTTGGACTAAAATTCGGAAGGTCTTGATTATAATTCACAAGCTGCAACAATTTCACAAGCATAGGTGTTTCGTTTTTGCACTTCTGCCCGTTTGATGCAAGGAATGTACTATCAGCTCTTTCCGGAGTTAATACACGCTGGATACGGATATTCCCATGAACACTACGATTTGCTTCACCGGTAACAACGGATTCATATGCGATAACGAATTGAATACGTTCAGGACGATGCTCTTTTCGCTACTCCGAGGAAATCTTCCACACTTGTGTTTAATTTTTGAAGGGTCAGCCACGCTCTGAGGCATTTTAAAACGAACTGAAAAGCAGCGCCTCGCAGGTCGATCGGTGGCGCTGCGCTGCGGTCCCATGAGTCGCGTCGCATGCGCCAGACCACGTCGATCAGCACGTTTTCGGGCTGAAATGTTAGAAGCTCGTAATCCTGTCGCAAAGCAACACGCAGTCGGTTCACAATGGCCTCCTTTCTCAAAACCGTTTGCAATAGTTTTGACGCAAGTGTAATATAACGAACGATGGAAGATAAATGAGTTCTTATACAGAGAATTATTTACTTTAGCAGAAGGGTCCCTATAACAGTAGAGCTCATACTGCTAACCAATGAGATTCATCCTAAGACATGTGCATTTGTTTACATGAGGATTTTTCTTAGAGTGAACTAATAATAGAGGGGACATTCTGATAACACGAATTTTTATAACACGAAAATGGATTATTTATTATTAGAATTCCTGTTAGCGAGAATTTACTGTCTTCCTTTTTATTCATGCATTTTTTTTAGGTTTTTGTCATTTGTCCCTTTTTTCATTTTCTCCTTTTTGTCCCGTTTGACCTTTTTTGTTGTTGTCTTTTTATTCTATTCTTTGAGCTGCTTTTATTAGTGGCTGTCTAAAAAGTATTTTAACTCTTTATGTCGTCTTAGAAAACGTGTACTCAAATTGTATAACAAATCGCCCTCAAAACTCACCAAGCAAAAGTTCACAAAAGGTCCCATGGTGTTCCATGTCTTTATTGGAATTGGCTATAGTTTGGAGCTGTGTTGTAAGCTGCAGGGCAATTTTCAGAGCTTTCCATTTCTACATGTAAGCTACATCATTCACCTAGTGAATGGAGAACGAACCAATAAAAACGAAGATTTCTTTGGGGGGGAAAAAGGGCAGTGGGAGATGCATGGGGTCAGTGGACTTGATTACGTCTTCACTTACAAACTAAAATTACAGACAAGGGTCAAAACTATTCTTGCTCTAGTTCTAGAGAGGGAGCAACGTACTCACTGTACAGAGAAGGGGGAAGAATCCTTAGAACGAGGGAGGGGGTGCGCTAGCGGGCTGAAAGACTCTTCTCTATACAAAGTATTGTATACACCACACCGAGCCGTGGGGTGCCGGGGGGAGAGGGATAGCGCTGGTTAAGAAGGGAGGCGGAGGTTGACAAAATTACGAGAATTTCAATGCACATACTATTTATTAATATTAGATTTGTAGTCAACATGGATGGGATGATATGACAAATGAAATGTTAATTTACAGAAACGAAAGTAAATGAATGATATAAAATGGATGTTCGTTGTTACGTCGATGTTACTTATCACCGTAAGGGTGACGTAGTGAACGTTTGTCCCACACCACGTCCATGGGCACACAGCGTTGCCGAAAACCTGATGCTGGGTAGCTGCGGCATGCGTGGACCTCAGAGCTGCTCCTCGTCCGGGCGAAGAAGGGATGCAGGCATCCCACACAGTTCGCTGGTCGGAGAGTCTGTCCAGCAGCTTGGCCACGGACCTGGCCTTAGGTGGGCCCTGACAGCAGGAGTATGTGCTTGCGGCACATACGGTCTCTCGCCAGCAGATAACTGACGGTGTGAGTAGGGTCTGCTCGTACCGCACTGTAATATCCACCGAGGACAGATTCTCTATGACTACATGCGGCGACAACCCGTTTAGTGGCTGTTCGTCGAAGACAAGGTAGCGCACTTAATTCACCGATGTACGTGCCGAAGGCAGTGTTTTCACGTGCGCGAAGCGCATTGATTTATACTATAAACTCTGATCATGAGCACGGAGACTGCTCAACGAAAAGGCGCTGGGCCGGCGGTGTGGCTTGGTGCCTTTCGCGGTGGTTCTCGCCCGTCTGACCTGGCACAAGTGAACATGCCGTTTCAAGGGAGAAGGCTGCAGTCCTTCGGGAAAGCGTGGGGAGCCGCCGTTTGGGGGAGGGGCCGGCGGCGCGGGTGCGGCGTGGGTGCGGCGTGGGTGCGGCGTGGGTGCGGCGTGGGTGCGGCGTGGGTGCGGCGGGCGCACCCTGCGGGAGCGGCCGCCTCCGGAGGGAGGGAGGGAGCGAGCGAGCGACCACCCGCCTTTGCGCGAGGGCTTTGTGTAGCGGACGGAACACTCAGCATGACGTTTTTGCAGATGTCTCATAAACTCTCACCTATTCCTTCCACCGTTCAACGAGGAGAATATTATAACATTGCACATCTCCCACCAGTGCATCATACAAACACATGAGAGTAGAGTCCACAAGATGTGTTGTGGACCCTGAGTTAAAAAGAATATTATAAGTGGTCGAAGAAAGTAATGCATTTATGCTGAAAATGAATCATTGAAGAGACGTTATTTAAAAATTATTTTCTCTGGTATCGGTTATTTCTTATGTCTCTTACATCTAATTACCTTTATTTAGTTCACTCCTTGTAGTTCTCTGAAACTTTCATTCAAATCCAACCACTACTAAAGCGCGAGGTTGGTGAATGGCTTCACTCAAAATACCTTCCATCATATTAGAAGATCCAAACAAACATTCAGAGACAGCAGAGAATAAGGGAAACTTTGGATTATCCAAAATGCATCAACATACTCGCGTATACATCCCTTTTAACTTGACTGTCACAGTGATTGCCTACATGAAGTTCTTGCAGGTGCGGGTTTCTTACGTTTGTTGTAAAATGCGCAAAACGTTTGAGGCAATTAATGTGACTGATTTTCATTGCTATTTACTGTGTTAATATACATGATTGCCAGTTTTTTTAGACTTTAAATGTTTTTTTTTCGTAAACACTGGTGTACAATATTCAGGACCGTTATAACAGCTTTGGGGGCCTCCTATACTTGCTTTCACCGACCCCCCCCCCCCCAATTTAAAGACACGGTTTTAAACTAAAAAAATAAACCTTTCATCACTGAGTGACCTTTTCGCATCAACCAGCAACATTCCATATTGTAAATAGTATCCAATGATGCAAGACACCACTCTGTTATGCCAATCTTTTGTGTATACACATATCACACATCACTTTTAATAGAAGTTTTTATTTTATTTTTTGAAATATTTAGTATTAAATAATTGTTTTAAGAAAATTGATTGTTTTAAGAAACTTGGGCTCGTTAAGACATTGTGAGAGGGAGGAGAAATTATTTTTGTTAAATTTGTATGTAATGTAGAAGTAATTGCTGTTACAAAAATACTTTCCTTTCAGGTGTTAGTATTCAATTATAAAAATCTGTCGGAAGATATAGGTTTATCAACTATCAATATTAAAAAGGAACTGAGTGGAGAAAAAACTGGGGAGTATTTTGGAGCATCTCTCGCTGCAGCTGATGTGAATAATGATGGCATTGATGAACTTTTTGTGGGATCACCATTATATAGTACACCAGGATCAGGAGATGAAGGGAAAGTATACCTATTTATGACCAGTGGAAAGGTAGGTGCAATAGATTTTGTAACTTCTCGGATTTAATTCAAAATATTTTTTATTCTATATCCTTTCATAACCTTTGAATTTTTGCTAATGAAATAATTCATGTCATGATAAAATTACAATCAAATTTAATATTTTTTCCTGGGAAAAATTAAATTATATGCAGATTAGTATAACTTATTTCATTTATATTTCAATATTAACTGTTGTAGGAAAGAGCATTAGTGTTAAACATATTGCAGTTGAACATTAATGTACTAACTTAATATTTTATTTCATTTGATATGTTGTACTTATTCTTGAAATTCTAATAAATATTTAATGTAATTTTTTTCCATTAATTTACAGAATAAAACTGAAATATTGAACATTAAAGAAGGAATCATGCCAAAAATTAAAATCCCTGGTGGAAGGTTTGGAACAGCTATTGCTGCTCTGGGTGACATTGATAAAGATGGATTTGGAGGTAAATTGACTTCAATGTGTACAGCTACATCATAAGCACAATGGCTTTGCTTTATTCATCTTATATACAAAACTGCATATCTGTAATACATTCATTAACACTTAGTGCAAAATCATTCATATTTTTACTATCCTAATATTTTTTAAAAGCTTTGTTTTACTTTTAACTTCATCCATATTATTGCTTTATTTACATTTCTATTTGTGCTCAAGGTATAAACAAACTTAACATTTTTCAAAGCAATAGTCACTCCGACCAGAAATCTTAACAATCAAGTTCAAAAAGAAGTTTTACTCTGTACAGTAAGATTTATGAAATATAAGAGTTTGTTTATTGAAAGATGTGTTGTTTGCAAATGTTTCTACAGAAAGCAATGAATATCTCCATAGTAATACTATGAAAGTATACAATATGTAAATAAATTAAGCAATTTAAATCTTGATTGTTTGAAAATAATTGGGTTTGTGTTATATTTATTATATTTTCAAGTTTGAACAAATATACTAGTGTTCATCTGGAGGGAATTTCAAAATATCACCATGACACAATATATTTATCACTCCTTATGTCTTGTTTATTGCTCTTATTATGGTTATCATTAAACTTCTAATAACACTTATCGTTTTCTCAGACATAGCGATTGGTGCTCCCTATGAAGATTCAGAGAGAGGGACAATCTATATATTCTATGGAAGTCCTGAGAGCCCCTACTTGAAGTACGAGCAACGCATAAAGGCAACAGATGTAGATTTACATCTCAAAGGATTTGGCTTCAGTTTTTCTCGAGGAGGAGATATTGACAACAATACATACAATGGTACATAAACAGTAGATAAATATTATTAGTTTTTCTTCGTTAAATGAAAATTACTTTCCAAATTTCTTTCTTAACTTTTAATCTGCGATTATAAATAAATAACTATATTGACTGTAGTTATGTTCCTTTTTTATTTTCATTAAACCAATATTCATTTTTTCTTACCTTTTCGTTAAATAAAAAGAAAATTTTAAATGTATTTATTGTCTCAGGCCAGTCCTTAAAAAAGGAAACAATATCACACATTTTAATTTCCAGATTTGGGAGTTGGTGCCTATCTATCTGACAATGCTGTAATATTAAGAACTTCACCCATACTAAGATTTAATTCTTCACTAAGAATTGATTCTGCAAACAACAAAATACCCATGTATGGTGACAGCACTACACTCACAGTTTGTGTGAGACCCAATGAAGTACTGGAAAATACAGGTTAGTCTTTATTCAGGTTAGCTAATGTTTCACTGCACCTGAAGTATTCAATAAATTTGATTTTAATATTTTAAACTATTTATATTTAAAATTTGAGAATGTGTTACTCTTTTATAAACACTGAAATATATAAACAAAAGCTTGTTGTAACTCAAAGGATCAAACTTGAGATCATTAAATATATTAAACATTAGCTTTCCAAGCTACCTCATTTCCAAAATCAGAACTTAACAATGATTTGAATGCTCATTTAAAGAATATAGCCAATAACATATAAATATTTGTTTTGAATAATTAACTATAATACATATTTTTATTGTATTTTATAATATGAATATGCAAATAAAATGAAATGAAGGTTGAAATTTTTTTCTATTAATGTCGGTCTTTATGATAAACACCATCAATATAATGTCAAAACTATTATTTCATGAAACATTCTTAAATTATAAGGTACAGTAATAGGGTATTTGAAGTATACTGTGCCAAAGTTGAAAGTAATGTCCTTGTTACAAATGCCACAAACAATTATTTTAAAATTTTCCCCAACTTTCCTAGAATGTAAAATAATTCAAGTGATGGTGATGTTGAGAATTTTTTTGATGAGTAAAATCAAATCATTTGCTCAGTATTAAATATTCAACCATAAATATTACAACTATATGTTCATGAAATGTTTCTATTATTGGTTTGCATTTATTTATTTCTTCTTTCTTCTGATTTAGGTGTGGAAGTCATTCTAAACATTGACCCAGTTTTCAACAGAGGATTTATAAATGGCAATAGAAAATTCAGATATAATCTTACTTTGACTGCAAGAAATGCAAAGGATGATTGTCAATCATTTCCTATGACATTAAAAGTAAGTAGCAAATTCAATTTTGTAGAGGAAAGATTTTCATATGTCCTTAAAGCATAATGGAATTTGAAGAAAAATTTGTTGTGGAACATTTATCTTTAAAAATAAATTTAAAAGAAATATCCAGAAAGAGTTTTTGGGGAATATTTAAGATTTTTTTTTTTTTCCTATTTTTCAGAATAACACAAAAATATACAAGCCTTTGGAAATTGAGATAAGCTACAGGATCATTTACCCAAAACCAAAAAGTAAGTTTTATTTTTTTGATTAATTATATTTTAAATTTATTTTCTAATATTTGAAACAGAAACGTTTTGCACAAAATTGGAAGTACCATATTTACCAAAATATAAGATGAGGATTTTTCCTAAATATCTCATTTAAACATACAGAGTCATTTTATATTTGCAGATTTGCCTAGTTGGTTAGTATATATATTTTTGTTTTACTTTTCCCTGTCATGAAACTGGTAAATGTTGACGTAATAATAAATTGTGAAGAGAATAAAAATATCATGCATATTACTTCGTTTTTGCGGATGTATGCTTGATATCTTTTGCAATTTTTGCCAAGTGATTCAGACAAATATTTGAATTGGTCAGTAAAAAATGATTTCAAATGAAAGGTATTGTATCAAGTGAAATGCAATGAGAAAATGAATAATAAGTATGAATTTTACAACCAACTACAGAAAATGGTCATAAAAAATTTATCTTAGCAAAAAGTTTCTTAACTTGGAAATTTGCCGCTATCGTCCACACTATCAGGGAAATAGAGGAACGGAGATGTAGGTAAGAGTCCTCAGTTCACAAGTCAATCTCATGAAAATAAATTATGTGAATTTCAAATTTATTCACTTGAATGTGAAGAACTGTTAAAGAATCAGAGGCCGTGAACAAAAGTGGGACATGAAGAAAATCTGATGACACTGAACTGAAGGGAATGATTTTAGGTAATGTCAGATGAAAGAAGAAATCAAATTCAATGCCCAAAACTTTCAGATAGGCTTAAAAAGTCAGAAGTTGATGCAATATGGGAGGAGGACCAAAAAGAAAAAAAGAATAATACATGTGAAGAAGAAACAGGATAGTGAGAATAACCACGATTATGACTTTAAAGAACAAGAAAGTAATGATAGCTCAGCCTATAAGTTTTTCAACATTTCCATAAACAAGACAAATTTCTAGTTAATTGGACAATTTGATAAAATAGATAGAATTTTATTTTCATAAAATATGTAGATTTAGTTAAAAATTTTAAAACTTCTCCCGTGACCTCTTCAGGGGAGATCTTATATTCATTCAAAGTAGACTTATATTCAGGTAAATATATAAATAGCTTTTCCAGCCCAAATCAAAGTCAATTACTTAAAAATAATAATATCGGTGTACACTCTTTCACTGATTTTGGACTTTCTGGTTTCCTAATAATTCATAGACAAAAAAGTTTTAAAAGTTATAAAATTAAAATGTTTTTATTAATAATGCACAGCTAATCCGGTGGTCGAGATCGCTAAGGCAGTAGTGCCGTAGCGATCTCATACCGAAAGATCGCGGGTTGAGTCGCTTCGGGCCATCGGGTGTCTTGGGTTTCGTCCTTTTCACCCCCCCCCATCATCATCATCATCATCATCATCCATTCTCATTATCACCTTCTGAATAACATTCAGAATTTGTAACTCGCGGATTTATCCTCTCATCAAGGTGACACTTCAACAGTCGACAACAGTGAAGTGGAAGACTCAAGTGGTCTCAATGCGGCCAACTAAGTTAATAATAAATAATAATAATAACTATGCCCCATAACAAAATTTTCTGCTCTTAACATACATATTTGTTGTTTTCATTAATCCAACTTCAAAACCAGACTTAATTTAATTATAATGAGTAAATGAATACTATTTACGTTCTCTTCTATTATCCATTTCTTTGTCAAAAAATGAGTTGTTTATTTTTCAGATGGCCAGTTTTGCAAATTTTGCCCAATTTTGGACTTTAAAAAACCAAAATCATATCATTACATTCACTACCAGACTGACTGTGCTGGTCAAGTATGCAAAACCAATCTTGCATTAAAAGGAAATTTTACTGGTGTACGGTATGTTGAAATTTAACAGTACTAGATATGTAATAACATTTATTATATTCTGAACATATTTCTGCACTTTGTTAAGATAAAATAGACATTTTTTTAAATTTTTTAAATTTAATTCTTATTTAATTCTGGGTAATTTTTATTGTTGTAACTTGTAATTAGGCCTTTTGCTACAAAATTTAGAATTTCAAGAAATAATGTTGAAAGTGTTTTAAACTCTTGTAGCTCTAAACAGTTAATGCAATTTTATGAATAGTGCACTTCTATCTTGCACTATTTTCTCTAAAAATGTGCAAAATATTGATGCATGTTTAACAATACAAAAATTGATTTTATGTCATACCTGACATCAGTTGCTTATACTATAAATGATACTTTTGGTTTATTTTCTCTTATAGGTCTCCATTTGTAATAGGAAGCACAAACCAAAGTAGTATTGAAATGGCCCTTGAAGTGTCTAACTCACTGGAGGCTTCTTATGAAACATATGTGACAATAACCTTTCCATCAGCAATTAAACTAAGACAATATCACCAATCATGTGACAAAAAAGTTAATTCAACGGATGTCACTGAACTGTTTTGTGAAGTTCCTTATATGCTTAATAGAACAACAAAGGTAATTTGAGAAATATTTTATAATTTCTCTCTAATTCATTGATATTTTTATCTTTTCATTTTCCCTTGGGTTCTTACTTTATATTTCCATAATTCAAATCTTACACAGACCCGGTTTTTGTTAAATCACTCATTCATTAAACATAATTTGACATGTTCATTTCCCTTTTTGTCATTTTTACTTTCATTTTCTTCTTTTGTAAATTACAAGATTGCGCTATGAATGTTATGAAAAGTGTTGCAAAATGTATGGTATTATTTCTAGTACTTATAAGCTGTATAACTTTTGTTCTTGATTTTGTTTCAGCCTTTTCTCCTTAATGTTCAATTTGATATAAATAATGTTCCTTGGGACATCAATCAGTTACAAGTTAATGTTTCGGTTGAAGGATCAGGAGAAGAACAAAATCTTGCGGATGATAAAATTACATTATTTCTTGAATTGAAACATGTTGCAAATGTTTCAATTAAGGGGTATGTGAAATTTATTTTATGAATATTCCAATACAGTAAGTAATTAAATCAAATGGAAAATTTGGCATCCTTGTTATGGAAATGGATAAGTTCTTTAGCACACATTTAAGAATGGCACAGCAATTGTTTGAATTTGTAGTTGACATTAGATTTTAATTTATTATTCAGGTGCACCTTAAATCAGTAACACAACTATAGGTGAGCACAGGAACCCCCTGAAAACTTTTAAAGGGAGCCCTGTTGCCCAGTAATAATAGTAATGTATATAACAAGTCCTCAAAATTAGTCTTTAAGGATGAGGCTGGAGGATTAACGGTGAGGCAGAAAGATAGTGTTACATACAATGTATTTTGTTATTTCTAGTTATTCCAAATAAACATTTAACACTCTCAAGAGTTAAGAATGGTCATTACCCTCGATATTCTGTTGCAAGGATTATTAATACAGGGTCTTGGTACCATTTTTTTAAAAAAAACTACAGTGCACAGACAAAGAGGGACAAGTCAAAGTGGGGAAAGGAGGACAAAGATGGCAATGAGACAAAGTGGGACAATGGGGAAAAAATTGGAAAAGGAGAGAAAGGAGACAAGGGGACAATATGGATGTCAGATCGAAGAGGGACAAATGAACAAAATGAGTCAAGGGTGACAATGCGACAATTGGGACGAATGAGACATGGGGAAAATGGACAAAATCGTACAGAAAGGACAAGAGGGACAAAAGGGACATAATTATCACAAGATTTATGAGCACTGGTAAAATCTAAACCTGAGAGTTCACAAAAATATTTTTAATGGACTCTCAAGCATTTTAACAGCCGTTGCTATGGAGGTGCTCTTAGTGTTGTTTAGATGGTTGATTGCTAAAGAGCTAAGAGCATGTTTCCTGACAAATAACAAAAACATTTTATTTTTGTAAATATGTTCAATACCTAATACCCCATTTTTTTTAATCTTACAATTTAGAGAATGGTTAAGACATTTGGACAAGAAGTTCTCAAAGTTCTCTGGCAATACTGTAAATGGTTCAACATAATATCATTTATATTTATTAATTTTATCATTTAAGGTAGAATTTAATTTCCCTTGAAGTGTTTTTGATTAATTTATTAGTGAAATAAGGCATACATAAATAAGAAAGTTTAATGGAAGAGGGGAGACCCAGAAATTTTGCCCTCTCCCCCCATCTTCCTTCTTGTTTTTGTAGAATTCACTCCATTCTGTTTTGCGATTTTGGTAGTTGTATGAGGATGCTTGGTATTTTTAATGAATTCCATCAAATATTAATAATAATTGTGATTTCTGTTAATTTCAAGATTTTTTTCTGTATTATTGTTGCATTACAATATCTAAGTATATCATTGCACTGAAATTGCTTAAAATGCAAAATCTCAACTGGTAATACATTCTGACCCTTTTGTGGATAAATATTACATATTTTTTTGTTCATATTTTACATATAAAAATAAATAGTAGAACTAAATTTTGTTTCATTAAGTCCTAAAGTTTACTTCACTCTAACTCTAAACGAAATAAGACAGTTTCTGGTTTTGAGATAATTGTTTGTTTTTGTCAAAAACAATATAAATATTTCAACCCAAGTGCAAGTTGAAGGGGATTTTCTTTTCTTGGAAGGGAAGTCAATTATTGTTAAAAGGCTCTAAGGATTATGAAAGAGTACAATTAGTTTATTTTATGCAAAGGAAGTGCTTGGGAATGCTGAGACCTCCTGACTCGATTGGATGTGTAAACATACCACTATTGATAATAAGTAATTTCCCAAATTTTTTATTCACAGAATTGAATGTGTCAAGAAAAATCAGTGAAATTTAGGATTCTAGGAAGGATGGCATTTTTCTTGGTTATTAATTTGTATTGACTTTTATAAATTTTCTAACATAAGGTGTTTGTTTGCAGGCGATCAAGTGCTGAGAATATTCAATTTGCAATAAAGCAAAATGACAGTGATGATTACACATACCATGACAAAACTTTTACACACACCTATACAGTAAGTTGCAATCAATAATTTATTTTGTATGTCTATAGAATCATCATTTTATTTTATTTCTGGGGTATTCAGGTTATACCGTGTTGCAAAAGAGCTGATGTATTCAAGCTAACAACCAGTCTTTAAATATTTCAATATCTTACATAACAAGTGTCTTTGGAACACTGAGAAACAAATTAATTAATAGTGATACATTAAATTTTAATGATTTCTGAAAATAAACATTTTTGTGATACTATCTCAAATTATAAAGTTTATTATTTTTGATAAATAAATAAAGATATTGTCAGGTATCAATATTTTAATTCAACTTATGATTGTTTCGATCGCGTAGCGATCATCCTCAGAGCGAAAATGTGAAATACAAATATTATTAACAGGTTGTAGTTATTGTATACAAGATGCGTAAGCAAACTGGATCGTACATACCTTGCAGCTTCTGGGCCGAAAACATAGTTCTGCGAATTTTTGAGCGTGTGTCTTGTTTAAGAGCACAGCCGGTCGGCAGCGGGAGGGGGCGGGGTGCGGGTGAAGGGTTGTAAAACGCGGGGGTGGTGGTGGTTTATTATTTTTTTTAAATCAATAAATTTTTATTAAGTTATTGTTATATTATGAATCAAATCTTATTATTAAATTTCACATCTTAATATTGATGTATTTTTGGTCCATCTTAGTGTGAGGAAAATCATTGAATGTCTTTTACCCTTTAATTTTAAGACACTCTTTTCCTGCTTCAACTTGTTTGCAGATAACATCCTTACTCCTTATACCTAGAGTATCTGAAAATTCATTTATAATAATTTGGATTTCTATAGATGTAAAGCATCTGGGCCAAAAATGATTCCATTAAAGATTTTTCTAGCTAAACCTTCTGAATTTGCTTGAACTCATGTTGCATATTACCTGTCTCTGCTGTATTTCTTTTGAATGATTGTCTAGTATATAATCGCATTTCCGGTAAAATCTATCATTCTGTATTATTTGCTCAAATAATGGGTAATTTCATTTGTTTACATCAGTTTTATTATCCCATTTTGTTTTTATATCTTTCTGTTGTATTTCTGTATTTCAGATTATTAATAATGGACCAAGTCCTATTCATGAACTAAATTTAAAATTTTTAATTCCTCACAAAGTGAAAGAATCTGGACAAGACATAGTTTTTCTTAATGTAATTCCTGTAAGTTGCTGCCTTTTAATAACTTATTATTTGGAATACTTACATTGTGTATTCAAATACATAATGTTCAGTAACAGTATGAATATTTTAAATACAAAATAACTTTTAACTAGTATTTATTAAATCTCTATTTGTAAATACTTTTAATCTTTTTTCTTAGCCACGATTTGTATTTGTTGATGCATCTGGATATGGACAGAAATCATCTCCAGAATATGATGCAGTGTCTGAAAAATCTAGAGATCATCAATATCTGAATTTGGAATGTTCATTGCCTGAGGTGGAATGTCTAGTAGTGTACTATAATACTACAGATACAATATATGCAAAAAATGGAGTTACCGTGTCATTTGAAATAACTGGCCTCCTTAAGTCATTAGGTAATTTTACAATGCTGCTTTACTTCTTCTTAGAATACATAGTACATTGAAGTTTATCTGAAGTTCTATATTCTTTGAAGATTTAATTGATCTTGGCTTAGAAGGGCAGACTGATCTAAAATGCTTGAATTACGATCAATTTAATCTTGTGTAATATTTTGCCAAGTATTATAATTATTTACAAGTAAATTGAATAAACTGTACAAATTGTTAAATTTAATATCTTCAGTTAATTATGTAATACTTCAAACAAACATTTAAAACCAGTTGTATCTTTGAAATATAATAGAGAAGGAAGACATCTTTATACGGATATCACTAACACCTATGGCATAAAGAACCCCCCCACCCCCACCCATATTTTCAAGAACATTGAGACTTTTTATCCCATTTTCCTTTTTAACTAAAGAACAGCACTATTCATTCTTTATATTACATTCACACATAAATGATAATATAGTTTACACAAAAATGTTTTGCTCATTAATCAGGAAGGTAAAACAGCATGGGATAGGGATAAAGGAATCCTGAACTTAGTGGTTGCTTTCAAACTGACAGGTCCAATTGTAGGTCCACCCTGATGAGCTAGCATTTTCATAGCAAAAGGAGGCAGTATATAAGTACATTACTTACCACCACTAGTTATCTATCACTATTTCTGTGGCTGCCATTGTTTTCATAGAGACAGAGCATATTATTAAATACATGAATAACCATGGAATTATTTGACTTTCTTTAATCTGCGTGCACTGTCAATAAATCAAAAAGAAAGTGTTGTGGCTTACACAACTCCCACTGACAGTCCACTCAACTGATTGCTGGGCTTATTATATTCGTTTTAAACGCCATGTATCACAATAACTTATGTGTAATAGTAGTTTACATAACCAAAATACATAAAAAATTTTTAGAGTTATAATTATTAGAGAATTACACAACAGGTTATAGTGTTAACATTTGAAAATTGCTAGTTGACATGCAATGAACTCCAGAAATTTTAGTATATCAAAGATAGTGTATTCCATAAGACTAATCAAGGCCATTTTTTTATTATAATTATATCCTGATTTCTTATCTTGCTAACCATTTCCATCTCATTATTATATACATTGCATGTACAGACCTATCTGATGTTATATTTACATATATTTATATGTGATTATCAATAAAACTGTACATAAGAAATTTTTCTAAATATTGTAAGAGATGCAAGTCGATAAAATCAACAATTATATTGTCAACTCTTTGAAGTCATTCTCAAAGGGGAAATTTCTAAATACTGCACCAATTACTTGTATAAACATAGAAAATTAAATAGGACCCAGATGAGAGCCATGTGATACTCTCGTAGTGGGCCATGCACTTCAAGAGACAATTCCTTAAATTAATTTGCTTTATCTCTTTGAAAAATAGGTGCAATCCAATTTGTTGATATACTTCTCAATTTGATTTATAATGGCTAACATGTCTCAATGAGTGATATAGCCAGAATTGTTTTCTGAAGGAAGTTTGGCAAGTGGACTTTTAACATTAGTATTCATTGGTATAGAATTCTGCTTCTAGAAAAAATATCATAAGTCAAAAAAACCTCTTTTGCAACTAGGCATTTAAAGTTAAATAATTGGGTATGATTGGGTACACTAATAGAAAATCCAAATTTCTCTCTCCTCTAGCAAACATGAATCAAACTAATGTATCTTTTGAAGCAGAAAGGGAGTTATTAATGTGTGATGTAACGACCTAGAAAATTAAAATTTTTAAGTTGTATCATCTTTTTTCTGAAAAAGCAATACCACATTTAGATTGGTGTGAAATAATATCTTATAATTTTGAATGGGACTTATTTCTGGTAGTTCACTACATCACTTTCAACCAGAGACAATGGTACAGCAAAGATGGCAAACAAAGGCACCACTCATAAGGGATGCTATTTAGAAAATACATGCTAAAACAAATAACATTCCTAATTTGAAGAATTCTAACAGGGCTGCAAATTCTATGCTTGTCATGGGTTGAGTACCTAGATATGCCCCTGTTCTCAACTGCCATACATTTTTTTCTTTTTTCTTTTTCTTACATAGTTTCTTGACACCATAAACATTACATTTCAATTTTGAAAAATTATTTTTCAAATCAATTCTTTTCTTGTTAGGTCCTCATCTTAAACAAAGTGGAGTGATAGTCAGGACTGTGGGTAAAATAGAAAATGAATATATATTGGATCAAGATCTTGATGGAATCACGTAAGCATTATCTTTATTCAAATGAAATTATAATTATTGCACTTATTAAAAATACATTTATTTTTAACTCTTCACAACATTCATAATTTATTATTCATAACTCTTTAATTTTGCTAATAATACATTTATGCAATATTTTTAATTAGTAATTACCTACAATTCATTTTGTGCTGAAAAATTTAGTATCAAAAACAAACATTTGTGTTAAAAACAAACATTTATCCAACATCAAAATTAAAATTTGATTGACACAAAAAGTTTCCTAATTAACTTCAGTGATATATAGAATTTTCAATTAGTGTTGTTTTTTCAAGGATTTTCACTTCTGAGGCGGAAACGGTACTCTCTGGAAAAGTAGTGTCTCAGGAAAGAGTGAAGGACTGGATTATAGTTCTAGCTGTTATTTGTGGAATTCTCATCCTGGCAATTATGTGTTTTGTATTGTGGAAGGTATGTACTGTTTATGTTTATAAACTTATTAAAACATTTTTTCTTAATTTTTTTTTTTTGGTAGCAATACATTCTTAATAAGCATTGCAACAACTTGCAATCCATCCATCAATTGGCAAATTATTGATTTTGGTTAGAGTTGTACAAATCTGCCCAAATATTGATTTTTGTGACAGGAGAGGAGTTATGTAGCAATGAAAACCAGAAACTTTTACTAATATAAGAGAGGAGTTGTTCAGATCAATATGTACGCCATGTGCATTTGTGAATTTTATACAGCGTGATAGAACATCAGCTTGTATATGATGAGCTACAGCAGCACGGCGGAATGCAATTCTGTTAGTATTCTCCATTTTTCTTTCTGGAATAAAGGAAAGTAGACTTTGAAATATGACTCGGGTGCCATTTTCGGTGAGCTCTGCAAGTCCTATTTTCGATAATTGCGAAAAATTCACTTTGCAAAACTATAATATTGATGATGGGAGATTATTTACTTAGTGAATTCTGTTTTAAAAAAAAATTCATTTTTTTTAAAAATGTAAGAAACTTCGTTTCGCGTAATTTTTGAAAATCATCGAAATTACAAATAATAATTCCCTGCGCTTGTTCTGCTAAAGGAAGTATTTCTTGGGATACCAGGTTCAGTGGTGGCTTGCACCTTCATCGAATGACGGAAATGTAATTTCCAAAATTCAAAATACGAACATATAATAAAAATTTAAGCAATTCACATTAATTAATTAGTTAACTGAGTATTATTGAAACACTACTTAGTTACTCGCGCAAGTTTTCTTGATACACGAGCTCCCGAGTCCTCACCCGTGCTGAAAAGCGCGGCACATAGAGATATTACATGGGTTCGACCCTGAACGGCACGTACCAATTTACAATGCTGGAACAACCACCTCGTACTTTCGAAGCAATCATAGCATTTCTCGTGTCACGCTTTGGCAAGTGAAGTTCATGCCCACCACTGGTACGCCCTTTTAAGCCGTGACGTAGCCAGTGCCCTCCTCTCCCCGCACCTTCCGCTGCGGAAAATCAAGAAAACTTGCGGGTATAGTTCATAATTTTATGAGAAGTGTCCGTGTTAGGTGTACAATACACCTTCCGTGCACGTGGTTCTGGTTTTGACTCCCACTAGACACTTTAAGTTACACTTTAGCCCTTGCAACAAGCACAATTGCTTCGACACATTTCACACTAATAAAACACACACACACACTCTCACACCCTCTCACTCTCTCTCTCTCTCTCTCTCTCTCACACACACACACACACACACACACACACACACACACACACTCACTCACTCACTCCAGTTCCCACCAGCGCTATCCGTCTGTTACGTCTGTAACTGTAGGCTGCTGCAGGGACAAATACAAATCTACCATTACAGACAGAAAGGGACTTCCTTCCGGAATGGCTTAACACAAATAATTCATAAAGTGTAAAGTTTGAGTCAGTAAACCTATTATCAAGAATTCTCTGAACGTCGTAAATAATGCATTAAATGTCGTCAACAATTGAGTGAAGTTGTGTAGAAGTAACAAGCGATATTCATAAAATCACGTCACAGAGAGTCAGACGAAGACATAATATTATTCCCATGAGACTCCCACCGTCGCCGTGCAGCGCTAACTAGACAGTGCCACCCGTCAGGTTGCATCACCAAAACGCCCTATGTTCAGAGTGTTAAATCGAAGGGACAAAGAATAAATGTAGTAAACTCAGAACTACAGCAAAGACCCCAAGAGCGTGGTAACATTACCTGGCAAGGCTCCAGACAACGGAGAGAGCGTCAGTTGAACGCTATTTGGTTTCAAAATGATTTCATATACATGCGATATTGCTGCAATATCTTGAATATTGAATGTTATTAAAAGGAAATGTGTATTTCTAAGAAATTAACAGATATTTTTCGATTATCTGTGGGTTATGTAACCGTGCAACCTAAGCACGAGCCGCCACTGATCAGGCTGCTAGCCGATAATGGCAACGCCGCTATTTGGCATTCGGAAATACACAGAACTCTTTCTCTTTGTTGGGTGATGAAGTTTCTCGCTGTATGGAACGCAGTTTTTTATTGTCAGATTTGTGTTGATATATTCCGTGCGATCGGCGTCATACGAGACCGGCACTACCGCGACCACGCAACGCCGGCAGTGTGCGGGCGCTGCTCAGGCCGTTGGCGAATACCTCCAACGTCTTCAGGACGCATCGGGAGGCGGCAGCGCATGCGCGCGACGTAGAGTTGCCAGACGTACCAGGATCTTGGTACTTTTATTAGCATTTTAATGATGATACAATGTCCCTGGATGTAGATCTCCTGGTAGTGTAAATACGAGCATTTAAAGTTCACGGTAATTGATGTACGATTTAATATTAGTTTAATACTTTTTTTTACTCAAAAAATTAAATCTTACACCAATATTACAAATATCTAAGATATTGATGAAAGCATTGCTCTAAAAACATTAAAGGTTACATAAGATGTTTTGTCCTAGCGCATTCTATAGTAGGAAAGGATAAAACTACTTAGTCTTCCATTTACTTTATAGATATAAAATGAATCGGTATCGAGTAAAGTTTAACGAATTTCCTGTGCGCGTTGAGAACATAAAAGTTATATGAACAATGTTAGAATATAAATCAATTGACATTGGTACCAGAAATTTTACCGAAAGTACAAGGATTTTTGAAGTTTGGTACTGGGTTATACATTTAATCATTGGCAACGCTGGCGCGACGCCCCCCCCCCCCCACTCAAAGACAAAGCGTATGATGGCATTGGTTGGGGGGGACGATTCAACGGCCTGCTGGAGAGCGAGCGTCCGTGATTGTGATGTTATCCGTTGCGCGTTGCAGCCTTTAGTGATACTCACGAAATTAGTGTTATTTTTTGATAAAGAAAATCAAAAAGTGGAACACTAGTTTTAAATAATTGATTTCCTTCCCTTTCGTATAAAGAAAAGAAACGAGTAATTAATATTGGGTGACCATGTCCGGACGTGAATATATTTCAGATTTTAATTTTAAAATGGGAACCGAAGAATGGGAAAAGAGCCCAGAATGTCATTTTAAATACTTTAAAACTAATTGAACGTCTAAGATGACCGAAGACGAACGTCGAAGTCTAACGACGAAGCATCGCTGATGCTGTAAACTGCATTAAAAGTATTTTCATGCTTTGAAAATTCCTTTCATACTTCATTTCATTCATGCGTAACTTTGTTCAAACATATTCTTACAGTATCTGGCATTGGACTTATCAATGAATCGTAGTAGCTGTTAATGTTATACTCCACTTCAAAAATTCCTATGTTGTATTCCTACCTTGTATGTTACCTCCATACGGGATATCAACTGGTAATATTGCAATTTCAAATTTATATTCGGCCGTAAAAAACACTTGAAGGTATTGATAGTGCGAATAGTTAGTTTAGTATAGCTACTTTTTTCATACTCAATTAGTTCCGAAAATTCTGTCCCAAAATGTTTTACAACTACCCTTGATTCTTCCCCAGATTTGCTTAACGCTACTGTATTTTTCACCCATAATGTTTGAAGAGATTAAAACTCTACAAACCAAGTCTAATTTGTGTTCACATCTACTTCTGCAATTGCCTTATTAATCGTTTTGTATGCGAATCTATATAAACATTAAAAGGCTACTGTTTTGTATGGTTATATGAATAAGATGTTAGTTCAGTTTAGTATAAGTTGTTGGTCACGTTCATTAGAAAATTGGTATTTGTACACTTATGAACGTAAAAGTGATAAGTCGAATGTTATAACATTCATTCTTTAACATTATTGATAGTTTTTTTTCTTCGTATTCACCTGAAATTCTTCAAATTTAATAAGTTCCTTCAAGGCAATACTGTTCGTAGGTTTTTGCAAATTTATTTTTTAAAGTATGGTAGTAGTCCTACGGATCAAAATTAAAATGAAATATGCCGCACATAGATCTACTTAGATTGGGTTGGTTTAATTCCTGGCATACTCACAAAGATCGCTGCGTCAAAACACGTTTTTGGAAATTTGTTTGAATCTTCGTGCCGAATCCGGAAACAAATTATCAGTTCTCCAATAGGAGGTCGAGACGCGTCGAATGTCTTGTCTGGTGCGCGGAAAGTGGTCTAGCCGTGAGTGACGGAACCGCTCATAAGTAGGGTTCCCATACGTCCTGAAAAAGCGGGATATGTCCTGAATATCGGCATGTGTCCCGCCAGATTTTTCTTAGTTTCTGCCAAATGTCCGGAATTGTTATACTCTACTATAATTCCACAGAGTCATAAAAAAATTACAAAACCCTTCGCTTTGGGACCACTTGTCTACATCAGAGCTATGCGTTACATAAGAGAACGCAAACTGCTAACTCAATTGTTAAGCAAATTGCATTTCTGTCTTTTTACGGTGCAATTTGAGAGCTGAAAATAGATAAAAGAAGGCACTGTGTGATTTGAATCGAATTGAATTTGAATTGAATCGATGCCTTATTTTAAGTGGCGAGACTTGGGCCAATTTGATGCGATTTGAATCTAACTCAGAGGCGCCATTTAGACTTGAGGACCTTTTATATTCAAGTATATCTACTAAAATGGGACAGCCGGCTTTACTTGCCCTCCGAAGGAAGGCGAAGTGCACCTCTCAAAATGTGTCGTATTCGAAGGAAGACGGAAATATGTAAAAAATATACTTATGTACTACTATTGCAGACCGTTTACCTCAGTCAGTAATAGTAGTATAGCATCTCTAATTTGGTATCTGTGGAAAAATAGACAGATGCAAAGAGACGAAAGCCGAAACCGACTGTCGGGCTTGCGTATCCCGCAAGTCCCGTCTGCTCCGCCGGGGCTGGCCGCACGCCGCCTGGCCTGGTCGTGCTCCCGCGCCGACAGAGGGCCCACAACAATCGGGTGGGTGACGCAACGGCGAAGAAGGGGAAGGGGGCGAGGTGTTTTCGTAAATTTCACTTTACGACGCTCCTATTCGTCCGATTTGCATGATTGTTACGGCGTTGGATTCAGGAAGCATGTCGCCATCGCGCTATAAGCCCACATTTTTAAATTTTTTCTCGAAAGTTTGAGAACTAATTTCAAATTCGAAATTTTGCTAGATTATTGGGAAAAGGGCTTCGTAGCGTAAATTCTATTTTAAAAAGGGGTCAAATGCCGTTTACAGATCGAAAATCGGACCATTGGTTCAGACGTTATCGGTAAAGTAAATTTTACTTATTTTGGTGCTGCCACGTGGTGGCCACAAATTGTACTAGTGTCGGTACATTTAGCCTTAATGCAAGATAATCTGGAATGCAAAAGCGAAAGGGCTCAGCCAATAGCAGTTTTAATATCGACCAAAGGCATGCTTTATTTAATGTTTATTGTAATATTTTTATAAAATATTTCACATATTTTGTCATGGGAAAATATAGAATTTACTTGGATAATCTGGAAAAGACGGAAATTCTTCTTAGAAAAAGAGTGGTTAGCCTGTTATTCTTGAAAACGTAATTTATCTTAACCGACTATTTAGTTGGTTACTTAATTTACTATATCCTTATTTTACGATTTCCTTAATATACTATATAATTGTGTAAAATAACAAAAACAATTTGATCTGAAATATTTCCGATGTCCTGAATTCTGTTATTATCTTTATGGCAACTCTACGCATTTGCACCCTCGGGGTTGCTCAAATACTATGTAGTGATGTGTATTATTCCAATCTTTGCAATGGGAAATATAATATCCTCATTGTTTTTTTGCGACTATCTTTCCCTCATTCTTGCAATATTATAATTTAAAATAAATCAGGATTTTGTTTATATAATTCAATATGTCTCCATGAAAACGAAAAGAGTAGTGTGGGAGTTAACACTTTCCTTCCCTGCCAACGCCGTTGGTCCAGAGCAAGGAGACGCCAGGCCCAGCGGATAATGTGATTAGAGAAGGTAGTTACACCCACACGTAAAATTCCAAGTGGGTAAAATATCCACTTCGAATTTGGGGTGAAAGAAATATTCCATAGACGTCAAATTTCAGAAATGAAGGAAGTTTCTCGATATTGCGTCGACTCAAAACGTATATGCCATCAACTATATTGCAAGATCGGCTCAACAGTATTGAAAGTTTTCAATTTATGACTTGACCGACAAAGTCGATTTGCAAAAATTGTTAAATGAGTTTATATATTAAAATGCAAATCGCATCGCTGTTTTTGCGTTATAAAATGAATTACTGGAGTTACGTAAAATAAATGTAATAAATAATGATAATTTGAAAAAAAATGTTTTGTATACAATTTCGGTGGGTGATGGAGGGAGGAAGAGGAGGACCCCCATCCGGGTCAATTACCCACCCGGACTTCATACCAATCGCCGGCCCTGAGAGGCGCCACTGCTAAGATGTGTTAATATGGTCGGAAATTGCGGTACTATAATATTACGTAACCATCAATAATGCGAAAGAGTACAGTATTGTAGCATCATTAGTTAGATTTAAATCGTTTTTATTACATTATAATTGAAATTAACATTACTACATCGTACTCGGTTTTATTCAGAAAACGACGTGAATAAACGGCAAATGTTGGAGACATGCAGGCGTCGTTAACCGAATTGCTAAACTACACTCGGTGAAGTCACAGATGTTGCGCAAATCGAGACACCACGTATTCGTGGATGGGTGACCGTTTGAAAACCCCTTACTAATAACGCCCAGCCCCTGGCCAAATGGATAAAAACTAATGACTGGCTGCGACATTACGGGACAAAAGACAAATTTAAAGATAATTTATGTTCATATTAACACATCACAGCTATGACTTGTGAAAGTCATTACAAATCGTAGACATTAGGTGCGTAAATAAATTGTTTTAAAGCTAATATCAACACACATTCAACATTGAGTTTCATACAGCCAGAAATTCTCCCAACAATGAGAAGGAATTCTCAGAATTTCAAACTGTCGAGTTGCGATTTAGTGTTGCTCGTGTATATCTCGTGAAAGACTGGCAAATAGAGCGTGGAGAATTAAAATTCTTCAATTTTGAACATTTACAAAAATATCACTAAACTATTTATATTTTTAAAGTATTTTACTTTTTACAAGACCGTTTTTACAGAACTGATTTTTTAGAACAGATTCTATTTCAAACAATTGGTATCGTTATTGTAGTTTTGCAATATTCATTTTTGCAGTTTCGAAAATACACAGTGTAAGTCCTGAAAGATAACCAGCATAATTTTCTTTGTCATTCTTTGCAACATGGGAGGAAAACAATAAATCAAAAAGTAGGAGCCGTTCCAACCTATTTTTCGGTAGCAAGGACCTACAAAATGTGAATTCTAACTGCACAACGTCTTAGGGGAAGTAATTTATTAATTTTATGAACACGAATTATCAGCTTCTTCAGTAAATTCTATTTACAATTTATCTTCCACCACAAATCATACGTAAACATATTTCACTGAACTGCAGTCTTAAAATACCAAAGTTTAAATCTGTTTTCACTTCCAATGATTGATTCAAGGCTCATTCAAAAAAGTAACCTGCTTTCAATTTTCTTTCCTTATACTTTTTTTCAAATTTAATTTTTTTCAAAATGTGTAGGCTCTTCATAATGTCTAATTCATTCAAAATTTTGAAAATAGAAAATAGATAAATGGAAAATCTAAATTCTTCCTTAATTTAATTTATTTAAATTTTGATTTCAGTGTTCAGAAATGTAGAATAACATTGAATGAGCTGCAGGATTATTCCTTTTGCAAACTATAAGATATAAGATAAAAAACTATAAGATGCAAATATAACTATTTAAATTGAAAGTTTAATTATTCTAGCTAATTGCTCAAGTACTCTTCTAATACTGTGCTACAGAAAAGGGAACCAAGAGTAGAATGTATAGTACTACAATAGTATTACTACTACAAACATTAAAACAATATGGATTTTTGATTTTACCAATGCTCACTTTTGATATTTTATGTATTCATTTTTGAAGAATATTAAATATGTTTTTTATTGCAGCTGGGCTTCTTTAAAAGAAATAAACCACCTACTTCTGAAGATGGAGAAGTTGAGAAGCCAGATGCGGCTGATAAGGTAAGAAAAAGAAAAGTTGGATCTTTCCAAATCTTAATCAGTACAAACAATCAACTTGGTTCTAATTTTTCATCAGAACAATGAAGTGACAAATTAATTGTGCATATTCTGCATGTTCATTCAACCATAACTTTCACAAACATATCCCATAAAAATTATTTTTCTTTACTTTAAAGAGTCTAAACTCCTAATAGTGCCACAGTATTAATTTAATAATATTCTAATTAATTTAAATTTATTTATTGTCAAATAAATTAAAAACCTTAAATGATGTTTGTGGTACAAGTATTATGGGATCTTGATATGATCATGAGGGCAGAAGATATAATAAATAATAAAGTGGTATTCACTTTGATCATACAAACACCTCTTGTAATGTTATATTATTAATGAGCAAAAAATTTACACAGCCTGTTAATAACTTATTGTTATATTATTATAAATGTACCAAATACATAAGAAACATGTATAAAGTCACACTGTTTGGACAATATTTCTGTTCTTCAGATGATAGGCCTTACTGATAAAAATAAGTTAGACTTATTCATTGCCTATTAATTTAGATTAAAATCGATCTGAATAATTTGAATTTATTTTATGCTCCGCAAATTTCAACAGAATCTTTTAACTTTGTTTTATTTTACTTCAATTTGATCTTCACACAAACATTTACATTATTGTCTCAGAACTATGATCAATGTTTCTCTTTAAAAATGGCAGTCAGCTTATAAATATTGGTGGGGATGTGTCGGGTCAGTGGCAGAGTGGTGATGATCAAGCAATATAATTTTAAAAAAATTATTGCACATGAAATATTTTACACAAGAAATGGAAAATTAATATGCCCTATTTTACTCTGTTTTTATCTCTCCTTCTCCTTCTCTCTCTCTCCTTCTCTCTCTCCTTCTCTTCTCTCTCTCTCTCTCTCTTTCTCTGCACATCCTATTAAGGGCAGGGGCCTCCTGCTCGCACAGGGAATTATTAATTCTTCTTTTAATAAGTGATAGGATGATGATGATGAAGGGTGAAGGGACGATCACAAACACATCATGCCCGAGGAGGGATTCGAGCCCTCTGTCCTTCGATACGAGATCGCCATGACACTACTACCTTTAGCGATCTCGACTATCCGGATCGACTAATAAATATATAATGGAAAATTAACAATGTTTGCTACGTAACAGTAGATAAATTGTTATAACACAATCAGAAACTTGCAAAAGAATTTAATATTAGGGAGTTTGTGCCACCTCGAACGTTAACCACCTCACCCACTCTCAATTATACTCAACTGGCCCCAGCGGTTCGTTTTTGTTTTTTGCTGGTGAATAGCATTCCTACTCATCGCAGCGTTCAGAGAATCTCTGCTGTTCGGCAGTTACCGACTATGTCTAGCGGAATACTTCATTGGAACCAATTGGAACTCTCAGTATGAACGTGCGAGTGAAACGAAGTTTTTAAATGCGCAGATCCGATTTTCGTTGAACTCTCTAAATTTTGGAAAATTGCAAAAGTTACAAATAATGCGAGAAAGTGTGTGCTGTTGTAGAGCCACTAGTTTTCTTAATACACTTTAAATTATTTGAAGGCGTACGTTTTGAGAAAAAAACACATTTTTGGGGTCAACGTACCTACAAATGTGGATTCTGACTACACTCCTTTTTTGTCGTATGAGTGACTCATTTGCTACTTACACATTCTGTAATACAGAAGCAAGTAATATACTTTTTCTCTATATCAAATACCCACAACTCGTGCTTTTCTGTCGAAAGTTTATCTTTTTCAAGCAGTATTTCATAACTTCTCCTACTACATAGTAAAAACGAGTAAGTAAAGGAATGCAATACTAAATAACATAGACTTTCTCATACTGGTAAGTTTCCGGTTCTCTTGAGACGGGGCTGATTGAGAATGGGAAATGTAGATTGTGATCTACGTTTCCTATTTCTACTTTATGGCCTACAATCTACAATGATTATTTATAGGAAGTTATATTTTTAGACGTAGAATTTTAGAGTATCTAAAATTTTATATTTGTTGGCTGGGACAGTCAAAATTGCTTGTGTTGAATTGTATTTGTATGCCTTGGCAGTAAACGTTGCGTTAGAGATTATTGATTCACAGTAGACAGGCTATTTCTGTCACATTTAGTTCGTGTTCTTATTGTCACTTTCAAGAGCTGGAAAGAATGAATCACCCATAAGCTAAATAAGGTTATCAAACAGCCTTTGACTCCAATGGAGAGTCATGACCTAGCATTCAATTTCAAAGTGTTGCGTATCTCATAGTGAGATGATCCGTGTAATTATGCTTATCTAAAAGTTTTCTTTTTATTCGACGTGTCACTATTTTAAATTCTGAAGTTCTTAAAATTTCCCCTTAGGGTGTCAAAAGCATTCGAATTTTTACATTTGTTTTATCATCGTGTAAATACACACTTGTATTAAGATAAAAAGAAGCATAGATTATCTGGAAACCAACTGAGGAGATCGTCGTATTTGTTTGTGGGTTTTCTATTCGAGTATACAGCGTGTTTCTGTACTTCATTGATGTCAACAGTGGTGAAGGTCGGTGTCATTGGAGTCAACAGTGTTATCGGATTGAAATTGTCGTTTGAAGAGACGCTCATTCTATCTTCTCATGAGAAAGATATTTAATGTGTAGATTAGTGGGACGATAGTGTGCTTGGCGGTCACAATTACATTTATTTTTACAGGCATGATTTTTAAATTTTTAGTTTTATTTCTTTGCAGTTCGAAAAATTAAGAAAGTGATGGCGTAGATTATGTTTATTTTCAACTCTGTGATTTTGTAACCATATCTTTCATAACTAAAATAAAAGATGTTTTCAAATAACTTAATTGTATTTCTTTAAAAGGCATCGGTCAGCTTTTTCATGGTTTTGAGATTTCTATTATTTCAGTAAATACATAATCTCAAATATCCTTTTGCGAATTTTATCACTTCAATAGACGGAGACATCCTAAATGAAATATGTAAGCAAGTTTTTTCATTCCTGATTGCTAGATGTCGATTTAATCGAGATCGTTAAAGCGTTGTACGCTCCTGGCCAGGGTGTATTGAGGACCTGCGTCGGGTCGGTTCGAATCTTCATCTAAAACGGTGCTTAGCTGCTGTACCCATGTGATTAAATCGAAGGGTGGTTGGTGTAAAGCAAAGGAGAACAACCTATAGTTCACTTGTCATGTGGTTTTCAAATTGAAATCGTTTGAATAATCAGATGAAAGCAACCATTAATCTGATTAAATTGACAGCGTGCCAGACTTTGAGACAGTAACATGTTACAATATAACTTGTGTATTCAAATATAAAAAAGGAATTATTTTTTTCTTTTTTTCAGATGGACACCGAACCACTTTATGAAGAAAATCCTTAAGTTATTTGGAGATATATCTTCAAGAGTCAAGAAATGTGCGAGTTGAGAATGGTGTTTGAGTGAATGTTTAAAATTTATTTATATGTATTGAGATGTGCAATGTGTGGGCGTGTGAATGACGTGCATTTATTGAGAGACATTTTACAAAACGTTATGCCAATGTTTGTTGTGAGCTCTTTATAAGAGCAACTGAAGACTGCCAAAGATTTTTGTTTTCACAACTTGTTTCTTGGAAAGCCTCGTTTCAAGCAACGGCTTAGTGAACAGTGAGTTTTTAATTGCCATTTATCGAGTAGTTCAAATCTTATTTAACAACGAAATTACTCTTGAAAACGGATATTCGGATATTGCTCGATAAGAAAATATTTTCTGACTTAATTGGCGTGTGATTATGTAGGGTTACTATTTCAGTAGAATTTTACAAAATAAAACTCGCATCTGCGATATTTGGAACGATACTGGTTAGGCTATTTTAGGAAGTACTTGACGACGGTATATAAGTGTCTTGTGTTCAAAAATAACACTTTACAATTGAAATGAGGCTCTTGCCTGTGTTCTTTTGCAAGAGAGACATTTATTAACTGTTCTACATTAGAACAAGACTGAAAATGCTTTAGCGAAGTTGCCACAATGGCAAAGCAACTTTTGGAAGAGAAACATTTATTGACTGTTCTATTTTAGAACAAGACTGAAAAAGCTTAAGCGAGCGAAATTACCACGAGCAGAATAAAACCAAATGGTTATGTGTATAAAACAATAATTTTGTCCACAAAATATAAACGTTTAAGTTATATTAATTTCTTAATTTACGGGAAATATTTTAATGATAATTAAAGTTGCTTTGCTGTTAATGTGTGCTTTATTTTATTACTTTGTTACAACCTGCATACCGCGCGTAAAAATATTTTTGTAAATCGATTAACACTGTGGCGTAACGTCAGTGTGAAATAAGGGTTTAAAGAACGGTAACGTGAGTTTTTCAGATTTATTAAAAAAGGCTAATCTCACTCACGATTAGCAGTACGTAGAAATCCATATTTTTATACGATCGTAGAGAAAATATTTTTACGTAGTAACATTTTTCGACGTGACAAATAGAAACCTATATTGAACGCTTCAAGTCTGAAAGTGAAGTATACATACTTCATACAAGATAAAGATTAAATTCTCGAACTTTTACGGAGAAAAATGATGTCCATAATGTTATCGGTATTGTCTGTTTCTTGAAACGGAGCTTCCCTAACATATTCAGTTTAAACATTAAATTTCACTGACATTTTTAATAGCGTTATCAATTTTCTTTTGCTTTTCCCTAATTCTTCCCAAATCATATAATTATGTCTGAGTTCCCCAGATTTTGCGAAGAATAAGCACTCTAGTTGATCGCTACTAGCAACAAGAGATATCAAGTTATGGGTCAACTAAAAATTTGGCCTTTTCTTTGTAATTAATGGCATGGCAGAAATTACAAGTGAAGTATTAAGTGAAATGAAGTGGTGCACGTACTTTCTCGACTTATTTCTAACGGTTTCGTAATATTCTGTTTACATCAACCGCAAAAGTGTTTCCACTTCGACAATTACTGCTGGCAACAACTGCAGATTTGGTCAAAGTGCAAGTACTGAAATGGCGAGTTGCCTGGAAAAAGGCCATACAATTTTTTTCTTTAGGTGTGTTGTACGTACACAGGCTAGTTAAAACCCCGAGTTTTCGACCTCCCCGACTATGAGTTAATTTTTTGAGGCCCAAAAATCGGTACTTTTGTGACGTAGTGAAATGAGAAATAAATTCAAAAACAAATAAAAATAGTATATTAAAAGATTATGAACAAGTTACAATAAATTGCAAATATTAAACACTCCGGCAACCTTTGCCTTCCAGTACCCTGCTTTACCGCAGAAAAATAAAAGCCACGCGTGATGCGAGTTGTCGGACTTACGTCCCGTGACAATTACCGTCACATGGCCTGACGCCAAAATTTAAACCGGTCGTGGCGACCGTGTGCCTACAGCACGCGAGATCGTCTGGCCCTTACTCTCCGGACATCTCGCCCACACTCCTACACTCCTTGTACTTACACGTACAACGCTCCCCGATGTAAAAACTGAATGAGAATGCGGGTGCAGATGGCGCCGCGTTAAATAGTTGAGGCTAACCCCCCCACCACTGTGCCATAGATAGGCTCGCTTGCTGTCCGCAAGCGAGGGCTCGCTGGCCAGCATCTTGGTTTACGCCCCCACACATAAGATTCCCAGGTTGGCTTTCCTGCTGTCGGTAAGCGAGGGCTCGCTGGCTAGCATCGTCAGAGTTCACAGCCTACGGTTATTTTTGGCTCTGAAGCTCTACCTGAGTCAACCGCCAGAGCGCAAACACCCGGAAGTGCAGGCTCAACCCCTTCCTCCCCCGCAGCGCACTTACACCGACCTAACGGTTCTGGCCCTCGTGTTAACGACGCCACACTTTTCTGACGTTCTTTTTCTGTTTTTTTTTCTCAATAACTCGTTAACCTTAATTTTTTAAGTAAAACCATTCAAATCAGTTTGAATAAAGATAACTCTTCCTAAAAATTTTGTATAAACCATTTCTTTCTAAATCAATTAACAATGGGCTACAGATTTTAAAAAACATTTTTTTAAATTCCCATTGAACAAAAATATACACGCTTATTATATAAAACAAATTAAATATACATACCTATTATTAAACGTAATACTATTATTTATCTCATTGTTGGTCTAAACTTTGCATCAGAAATGAACACATTGCCGAAAACCGTAATATACTCTATAAAAAATGAATGAATGCGTTAAGGATTGTTCGTGTTTTAGATTAATTCCCCAACGTGGGAACAATTTATTTTCTTCACTTTTCATTCCTTTACCGTCAGTAACTTGTTATTTATGTTCTTAAAGAGTAATAGTTTCCTTTTATATCCATTATAGCCTGAAGATGGGGGGGGGGGGGAATTCATGTCCCTGAAACGTCGCTCAACAAACTAAGGATAACGAAAAATAAAACTAAAGTTTATAATAATGTGATTCTGTATTCAAGTCAATGTTTTTTTTTTAATTAGTGTCTGTATAAGTAAACTCTGTGGCCAAACTCATCTAATATGTATGAATAATAGAATGACTGATAATTTTCTGATTTTTATGTAGAAGAAACAATATTTGAAAAGTATATCGTAAAATTGCATTTATTTTCTGTAATTATACCAGATTTTCATGGGATTAAGTATAAAACAGCTTTTATTACCACATTACCTGCCTGATTGCAGCAAAATACTCAAAACTACACTCTTTGCCTCACTAGCCTCTAGCCCATTAAAAGCGCGCTAAAATTCCGTGTGTAGTGAAGTAACTCATATATTTTTAGTTCTGTTTTATACTTGTTTAGCGAGGTCTAAGGAAGATGTTAGTAAAAGTATTGATAAATTGAAAGTGAGCTCGTGTGAGAAACCCAAAAAATATTTTAAAAAAGGCGTTTGATTTTTTAGCATATCTTGAAAACGGTCAACCCTAATAAAAATCCTCATGTGTACAAAATAAAACGATAATAAAAAAATATATTTGAAAGGTTATTCCCATCTTTTTCATAACCTTCATAGTTTTATGGTTAATCTTACGTGTAACACCCCCCCTTCATTATCATTTACTTAGTTCTTGTTCCTTCCTAGAGCCACGTGTTTTCTTGCGAACTTATAATATTATTTGAATCAATTTTATCACAAGTCACCCTGACGCTTGCGACGGTCTCATTACAATAGGCCACTCCAACTCGACACACTCTCATCTCATGTCAAAAACACCAGTGAACAGCCCTAAATGTGGTACTCCAATTTCTATTTTCCACATTTTAACAGAGTGTAATCTTACCAATGTGAAATAACTGTATTGCTTGAGAACATCAAGAACTGTTTGGACGACATTGAAAGTGTGTACGATATTATTTTTTTCAAACGAATTGGTGTTCTAAACTCTGTATAAGAAATAGTAGTAAATCTATTTTCAAGTTTGAAACGGAAAATGTAAAGTCGCTAATGACCCAGCAGTCGATGAGCCTATAAATATATGAAAAAAGCGCTTATGCAGCACACGAATATGCAGCAATAGAAAAAATCGATCGATAATATACATAGCTTCCAATTCTAACCAGATGTAAAGAAATCCATGTCCTGAAGCAACAGACAAAAATATGCAAAATTATAGAAATCCGCTCCCTACTAATAACCTTTTGCGGGTCGCAATAAATGGCACTGCGGGTCGCCAGTTGGACAACCCCGATATAGAATGAATGTAATTGCATGCGTCGAATGCCTATCACGGATATTACCTAATAGTGCTACAGAATCGCACAGACTATGACGTATTAATTTTCTATTTCCTTTGGTCTCGGCTAACTATTCGAACACAGAATCTTCCCTGCTATCATCTATCGCCGCCCAAAGTACATTTTTAATGAAATTAAAACAAATTTTCTTAATTTTTCGGTTTACTAATAATACAACGGAAATATTATGTTAAGAATATTAAAGAACAGTAAAACCGCGGCTAAAATGGCAATTTTCTTCGAAAAATTTGGAACCTTTATTAAGAAAATGGCGCTTAAGCGCTACTTTATATTCCACATTTGATGCACTTTTTCACGAAGCAAAAAAGTTTTTAAACTTTTGAGTTTTCGAAAAACTTTTTTGTCATTTAGAAGTCATTTGAACCCAGTCAATTTACAAATACAATAGTGATTACAAATTGCTGAAAATGTGCTTATTACTGGCATGAGAAATATTTAAAAAATACATTTGTGCAATTATAAAAAACAACAAAAAATACCCCGAAATGAACATTACATCATAATGAAGAATGTAATTATCACTAACCATTTGAAAATTTTGAAGAAACAAATTTGGAGCCGTTATTGAAAAAAATGGCGTTTGAGCGTTTCCGAAATTACGAAATTTTGATATAAAAATTTTGATTTAAATAGACAACGGTTGAGTTTTCGAGAAGCTTTATTTTATTATTTAAAGCACATGTACTCATAAATATAATAATGTGAGAAAATTGCCACCAATGTAAATATAAACGACGTGAGAGGCAAGTCAAAAAATTCATTTTTTTAATTTTTGAAAAAACAAAAGAATAGGGCCATATTGCGTTTATGTTTTCTTAAAGAGTGTATTTAGCACTATCCCTGCCAAAACTTTAAAGAAAACATTTGGAGTGTTTATTTGAGAAAATCTTGTTTTTGTAATCTTTTAAAATTGCACGAAAAATACTAAAATTTTCAAAAAAATGTACACGACCTTCATGAAAGAACAAATTATGAACAACAAATTTTATTTGAAGAAAAAATCTCTATCTTTAATGTTGTAGTTGTAGGAAGACCCAGAAAAATTCAAACTTTTGACATTTAAAAAAATTCAGAGATAGCCGTGAAAATTGGACCTAAGCAACCTTTATAATTGCATTTTACTCTATTCTTAAAAGAAATGTAAAGAAAAAATTTGGAGGAATTTTTGAGGAAATTTTGGAAATGTTCCAGGGGCTTCATGTGAAGTACCTCCAAAAACTAATAAATGATTTTCAAAATCGCAGAGCTTCGACTCAGGCCAAATGGACAGAATTCAATCAATTTGGAAAATATTCAATTTGGACAGAGTTCAATCAATTTGGAATCAATTTGGAAAAAAATATTTTTGCAGGGTTAAGGCACTAGTGTTGTTCACATACACCGGACGGACGTTTTGAAAGAAAACTTTTTCGTTATCAGGGGACCCCAAAACGTTGAAATCTCGAAATCGATTTGGCGAAAAATGAAATGGCGTGAAAAATGTCATCAAAACCAATTCTGATGAGCAACTCAAGCCGTTGGAGATGTTGGACCGATGTAATTAATTCGTTAAAGTGACCTCGGGAGGCAAACGGGTGTTGAATTCGATCTGGCTGGCTAGCTAGTGTCGAAAATCCTGCGGCCGACTCCCGGTCAGAGTTAAGTGTTCTGCTACCGCTTTAAGTAACACATAACCAACATGAGCCCCGAAATTGTCCACTATTATTTATTTTGGCAATTGAAACCTTTAAATGAAATTCGCTTTTTGTCATTGAATTCCATATATTTTTATACTCACATTTACTTACGTCCTGGAGAAATCCCAAGCGAACTGATAAAGAATGGAACACCAAAGCTAGTGCGAATGATGGCCAAGCTAATGAATAGGTGTATTAATAAAGACGATATACCAGAAGACTGGAAAATGGCTTATATAATTCCAATATATAAG